AATACAGTACCTCATGTTGTGATGATTCCAAACCATAAAATGATTTTTGTTGCTACTTCATAACTGTAATTTTGCTACTCTTATGAACCATAACGTAAATATCTGATATGCAGGATCTATTTTCATTCTCTGCACCAAATTTAGCACAAATACCTGATATGCCCAAATTTGAATACTGGTGGGGTATTGATTTTGGGAGTTGTAGTTGCTGGGATTTATAGTTCACCGGCAATCAAAGAGCATTCTGAACTCTACGAATGATGGAATTGAACCAAATTTGGCACACAAAACTCTCACGACTAACAGAAAATACTGGAAGGGTTTGGTGGGCAATGACCTTGAGCTTTGGAGTTGTAGTTCACTTACATCCAGAGAGCACTGTGGACTCAAACAATGATGGATCTAGTCCAAACTTGGCACAAATACTCAATATGCCCAAATGTGAACACTGGTGGAGTTTGGGGAAAATAGACCTTGACATTTGGGAGTTGCAGTTGATGGGATTTATAGTTCACCTACAATTAAAAAAGCATTCTGAACCCCACCACTGATATAATTGGGCCAAACTTCCCACACAGAACCCCCATGACCAACAGAAAATACTATGTTTTCTGATGGTCTTTGGTGACCCTTCTGACATGCCCTCATGATGCCCCCCCCCCAGGGGTCCCAACCCCCAGGTTGAGAAAAGCTGCCCTAGTCCTTCTTCCAATAGCCACTTTCCATACTTTAAAATTTAAATTATTAGGTGAGCCAATCAGAGATCTTCCAAACCACACATATGCATATAGCTCTAAGCAAGTGGTGGCCAGATGTGCTGGAGTACAACGCTGACTGCCTCAGTCCACTGGGCCCCACAATCAACTCTATTGGGATTTGGCAACTAGTCCAACCCAAAATTATCAGGAACAGCAAATATACCAATTGGAGCTCACAATACCTGTTGTCTGGGGGATGCTGGGAGCTGTAGTTCGAACAAGTAACTTTTATGAGTTCTGATTAAGCAACAAACTTTAAAATACATTAAAAATCTCTTGTAGGCCGGGTATCTTTGATATGCTTTTTAAATAAATTATAATTTAATATGGGAAGCGGAGAATGAGATGTTCTGAGAGAAGATTTGATGTTGAGCTCCATCTGTTAATTGATTTGGGATTTAATTTGTAATTAATAAGTAATATACACAGCTCTACTCTCGGTACAGTTTGCTCCCAAAATAATCTGATGAAGTCAAGCTGAGAAACCATGACCTAAAGCCAAGCAACGAGACTGAAAGCCACCCAGTGAGGGCTAGAGCTTGGAACTCACAAATCTCAGCCTGACAACAGTCCAACACAACCATTGGGATATCATCGGTTAGATCGCATCTTCCCGATCTTTTTGCTGTGTCGTTTCTCCCTCCAATTCCCAATTTCCCCTGTCTTTGGCTTACTTTAATTACTGCAAGTTGAGTTCAAAGTACAAACAAAAATCACTCAGTTAACTCAGCAGGAGAGAGAGGAGAAGGATGAGTCTTTACTTTCCCACTAAGGACTTTATCGCACAGATATAGTTAACTGGCATAGAACGATGCCATATGATTGGGTTGTTGTAGGTATTTTTGGGCTATATGGCCATTTTCTAGAGGCATTCTCTCCTGACGTTTCGCCTGCATCTATGGCAAGCATCCTCAGAGTTAGGAACAAAGATATGCCAATGCACAAAAACAGTTGACCAAAAACATCTACACAGTTACCCATAAAATATAGTGTTTTCTAGATCATGCTCTCAAGAGATATAAAAAATAAAGTAGACTTTCTAAAGGTAACATATTTGGTTTGCTCACAACCTTCATGTATTCAGCATACAAGAACATAATTTGTCAATTCAGTTAAAGATAAGTTTTGAAGTAGTTTCTCTGTGCAGATAACACAGGGCATCTTTTTTAAATGATCTTAACAGTCCAGCATCTAAAGCAGCATTTCTCAACCTGGGGTTGTGAGGGGGTTGCCAAAGACCATCAGAAAGTACAGTATTTTTTATTAGTCATGAGGGTTCTGTGTGGGAAGTTTGGCCCAATTCTGTCATTGGTGGGGTTCAGAATGCTCTTTGATTAGAGGTGAACTATAAATCCAAGCAACTACAATTCCCAAATGTCAAGGTCTATTTTCCCCAAACTCCACTGGTGTTCACATTTCAGCATATTGAGTATTCATGCCAAGTTTGGCGCAGATCCATAATTATTTGAGTCCACAGTGCTCTCTGAATGTAGGTGAACTACAACTCCAAAACTCAAGGTAGCACAATTACAGTTATGAAGTAGCAATGAAAATAATTTTATGGTTGGGAGTCACCACAACATGAGGAACTGTATTAAGGGGTTGTAACATTAGGAGAGTTGAGAACCACTGGTCTAAAGCATCTCTCTGTTCTAAAATGGAGTCTGAGATCTGAATAATCTCAGATCTGGTCACATGGTCTGTAGTCCCTCCCACAACATAGAGTTAAGGAAAGCTGCATACCAAAACACACATATACAATGTATGAGACCTCAGTGGTGCAGTGGGTTAAACCCCTGTGCCAGCAGGACTGAAGACCGACAGGCAGAGGCGGCCCTAGATAATTTTCAACGGTAAGCAAACAGCATTTTGATGCCCCCCCAACTTTTGGTGCCCCCCCCCAACCAATCACTGATATATATTTTCTGTTCGTTGTGGGAGTTCTGTGTGCCATATTTGGTTCAATTCCATCATTGGTGGAGTTCAGAATGCTCTTTGATTGTAGGTGAACTATACATCCCAATAACTACAACTTGCATATGTCAAGGTCGATTTTCCCCCAAGAGCGCCTCATACATAATAAATAACTAGTGTAGCAGGCTCGTAGAAAGTTGCTATTTCCAACAATGTAAATGCTTAATTTTACAGATGCCCTTCTTTTCAATCTACTAATCTTCTGAGAGTTTGTAAGTGTGTGTGTGTGTGTGTGTGTGTGTGCGGAAGGGGATCTTCCTCATCAGTACCTTTTGTTATCTTGACCACACTCTGATGTTACTTGGCCACACATATCCCAATTTTATAATGGCAGTGGCAGAAAAAGTTCCTTGAAAATTAATAGGACTCAGGCTGTATCTTATACAAAAGATCACTGGTTGCATAGAGCTGAACAAACAGAGCTGAACCTTCTAGAAAAATGCAAAATAAGAATTAACCTACAGGGACCTAATTGCACCATTGTTTCAGATATGTTGCCCATAGCCATGTCTGGGTGTTCTTGTTATTTTTAATTAAAAGCAAGCTTGGAAACAACTGGATTTGGAACCACAACATGGGGAGAAGGGGAAATTGAACCCTCCTTTACCTACAGTAAGATCCTGGGGAAAAAATCAGGAGGTGGTGCAATATATAGCAATTAAAAGCCTGCTGTGCTTGTTAATGGGTTTTTTTTTTTCCTTTCATTATTGCTGTTTGATGGTAGGAAAATAAATCAGGAGGAAAATAAAATTTCGGTTCCTCGTGGTTTGTGGTTCAGGTTCAGCTGATTCCATTATTTTAGATCAGTGTTTCTCAACCTTCTTAATGCCATGACCCCTAGTTAATACAGTTCCTCATGTTGTGGTGACCCCAACCATACAATTACTTTCATTGCTACTTCATAACTGTAATTGTGCTCCTGTTATGAATCATAATGTAAATATCTGATTTGTGTGTGTTTGTGTGTGTGTCAGGAGTGACTTGAGAAACTGCAAGTTGCTTCTGGTGTGAGAGAATTGGCTGTCTGCAAGGACACGCAAATGTTTTGATGTTTTACCATCCTTGTGGGAGGCTTCTCTCATGTCCCCATATAAGGAGCTGTAGTTGACAGAGGGAGCTCATCCGCGTGCTCCCCGGATTCGAACCTGTGACCTGTCGATCTTTAGTCCTGCCGGCACAAGGATTTAACCCATTGCGCCACCGGGGACTCCTCAATATCTGATATGCAAGATGTATTTACATTCACTGGACAATATTTGGCACAATTACCCTATATGCCCAAATTTGAATACTGGTGAGTTTGGGAGGGGGCATTGATTTTATCACTGGGGAGTTGTATTTGCTGGTATTTATAGTTCACCTACAATCAAAGAGCATTCTGAACTCTACCAATGATGGAATTGAATCAAACTTGGCACACAGAACTCCCATGACCAACAGAAAATACTGGAAGGGTTTGGTGAGCATTGACCTTGAGTTTTGGAGTTGTAGTTCAGCTACATCCAGAGAGCACTGTGGACTCAAACAATGATGGATCTGGACTGAACTTGGCATAGATACTCAATATACCCAAATGTGAACACTGGTGAACACTGGTAGAGTAAGCGGAAAATAGACCTTGACATTTGGGAGTTGTAGTTCTGGGATTTATAGTTCACCTACAATCAAAAAGCATTCTGGACCCCACCAATGATAGAATTGGGCCAAACGTCCCACAAATTCTGCCCTTATGATCTTTCTCATCCCAACTTCTGAGGCCAAATGGGGAAATTGGAAAAAAGCTATCAGGTTGCTTTTTGAAATTATGCTGAGGGCCACAATCTATGACAAGGGCCACTTGGACCTTGAAGGCTACCTAGATGAACCTCCCACCTCACACACACACCAATGAAGACTGACAGAGTATGTGGGAAGGGGAGTAATTTAAAAATAAAGTGACAAATCAAACTACGGTAGTAATCTTGCTAAACTATAGATTGATGTGTGTCGGGGACCCAAGAATAATTATATACATGCATATGCATATGCATATTTGTGACATATAATTATATTTAATAAAGGATGGAGTATGTTATACAGACAGTATATTATTAGATTGCCTGGCTGTCTAAACGACTTTTAATTCTTGTAACAAAGGAGTTTACAAAGGGAACTCAATGAAAGGCTGCCTGCTGGTAGGCTGGGTGTGTTTGATCTCAGCTCCATTGGCAACCACACTGATTACTCTCATGTTTCTTGTTGCTTCTGCTTACAAGCTGGGCTCTTGCTATGGATTCAGTGGGGCCAGGTGCCGCCTCCCCACAAGTACACTTCATTCAGCAACCAGTAAGTCAGTGGTTCTCAATCTTCCTAATGCCATGACCCCTTAATACAGTTCCTTATGTTGTGGTGACCCCCAACCATAATATTGTTTTAGTTGCTACTTGATATCTGTCATTTTACTACTGTTATAAATCGTAATGTAAAAATCCGATATGCAGGATGTATTTTCCTTCACTTGACCAAATTGAGCACAAATATCAATGCACCCAAGTTTAAATACTGATAGGGTTGGGGGAGGATTGATTTTGTAATTTGGGAGTTGTAGTTGTTGGAATTTATAGTTCACCTATAATCAAAGAGCATTCAGAACTCCACCAGCGATGGATTTGAACCGAACTTGGCACACAGAACTCCCATGACCAACAGAACACACCAGGAGGGTTTGGTGGGCATTGACCTTGAGTTTGGGAATTGTAGTTCACCTATATCCAGAGGGGTGCTGTGGATTCACGCAATGATGGATCTGGATCAAACTTGGCACAAATACTCAATATGCCCAAATGTGAACACTGGTGGAGTCTGGGGAAAATAGACCTTGACATTTGGGAGTTGTAGTTATTGGGATTTATAGTTCACCTACAATCAAAGAGCATTCTGAACTTGACCAACAATAGAATTGGGTAGACTTTCCACATATAATCCTCATGACCAACGGAAAATACTATTTCCTAATACTATTTTTTCCTATGGTCTTTGACGACCCCTTTGCCACCCCCTCATGATTCCCAGGTTGAGAAACACTGCAGTAAGTCAATCCTCTGGACTGGGGTGGGGAAAATGAACTGGAGGATTGCCTTGTATGAGAGAAGAATTTCTTATGATTGTGCATGTTTCAAGAAAACGTGTGGGAACAAGAGATTGGGTGGCACATAAAATAGAAACCACCCGTGCATTTTATGTATGTAAAGAAATGGAGTGGAGTTAGGGTTATTAGAGTAGAAACTGTTGTGTAGAACAAAGGATTTCAGGCTGGATCACTGCCATATAATCCAGTTTCTGGATCCAGATTATCTGCTTTGAACTGGATTATGTGGATTATGTGAGTCTGCACTTGCCACATTTTTTTTATCGTGTCAGGAGTGACTTGAGAAACTGCAGTTCGCTTCTTGTATGAGAGAATTGGCCGTCTGCAAAGACGTTGCCCAGGGGACGCCCGGATGATTTGATGTTTTTATCATCCTTGTGGGAGGCTTCTCTCATGTTCCTGTATGAGGAGTTGGAGCTGATAGAGGGAGCTCATCCGCCTCTCCCCGGATTCGAACCTGCGACCTGTCGGTCTTCAGTCCTGCCAGCACAGGGGTTTAACCCACTGCGCCACTGGGGGCTCCATACTTGCCACATAATGTAGTTCAAAGCAGATAATCTGGATTCAGAAACTGGATTATATGGCAGTGCAGGTGAGGCCTCATGAAAGGTTGCTTGTTACCTTCTTGTATGACAAAGAACATTTGCTGGAATTCGCGTTTCTTATAGTTGTGTGCCTTCAAATCATTTCTGATTTATGGCAACAATAAGACAAAACTATCATAGGGTTTTCTGGTGCTGAAAGTGTGTAACTCGCACAAGGAAACTGGGTTTCTATGGGTGAGTGAGGAGTCAAGCTCTGGTCTCTAGAATGCTCAAACCACTAAACACACTGGCTTTCTCTTCTATACAGCCATTAAAGGTATAGGAGCCTATGCCTATTTTCACTATGTTAACCCCAATTGGAATCCCCAAAAACTGAATTACTTCCTTTTTAAAAAAGATCACTTTATATCATGACTATAGTCTCACTCAACCTATTCAACTTGTATACAGAACAAGTTGATGAATGCAAGACTGGGGTAAAAATTGCTGGAAGAAACATTAACAACCTTAGATATGCAGATGATACCACTTTGATGGCCAAAAGCAAGGAGGAGCTGAGGAACCTTCTAATCAAGGTGAAAGAAGAAAGCAAATGCTGGGTTGCAGTTAAACATTAAAAAAAAACCAAGATTATGGCAACCAGACTGATTGACAACTGGCAAATAGAAGGAGAAAACGTGGAGGCCATGACAGACTTTGTATTTCTAGGTGCAAAGATTACTGCAGACACAGACTGCAGCCAGGAAATCAGGAGACGCTTACTTCTTGGGAGGAGAGCAATGACCAATCTCGATAAAATAGTGAAGAGTAGAGACATCACACTGGCAACGAAGATCCGCATAGTTAAAGCAATGGTATTCCCCGTAGTCACCTACAGATGTGAAGCTGGACCTTAGGGAAGGCTGAGTGAAGGAAGATAGATGCTTTTGAACTGTGGTGTTTGAGGAAAGTTCTGAGAGTACCTTGGACCGCGAGAAGATCCAACCAGTGCATACTTCAGGAAATAAAGCCTGATTGCTCATTGGAGGGAAGGATATTAGAAGCAAAGATTAAGTATTTTGGCCACATCATGAGACGACAGGAAGGCTTAGAGAAGACAATGATGCTGGGGGGAAGGGAAGGAAAAGGGAAGAGGGAGCGACCAAGAGCAAGATGGATGGATGGTATCCTTGAAGTAACTGGCTTGACCTTGAAGGAGCTGGGATTGGTGATGGCCAACAGGGAGCTCTGGCGTGGGCTGGTCCATGAGGTCACGAAGAGTCAGAAGCAACTGAATGAATGAACAACAACCACATAGCCAATTACATTCTCTCACCCCAAACAAAAATTAAGGTTAAAATTATATGGAGAGGGAGAAGAATATGGATGGGATATGGGAATTTTAGAACAAAGTAGCTAAAGAGCCAGAGTTTCCCCATCCTTGTTCTAAGGAATTCCTACCAAATTCTGATCCAAACCTTCCTTCACAGTCTCCACAAAGGATTGAGATTACACAGCTAACAATGGAAAAGAATTGGGGCCACGGTTGGCGTAGTGGGTTAAACCCTTCTGCTGCTGAACTAGAGACCTGAAGGTTGGCAGTTCAAAGCCACAGATTGGGGTGAGCTCCCACTGTTATCCCTAGCTCCTGCCAACCTAGCAGTTCGGAAACAAGCAAATGTGAGTAGATCAATAGGTACCACTTCGGCGGAAAAGTAATAAAGGCACCCACACAGCAATGCCGGCACGCGATCAGGAGGTGTCTACACACAACAGGCTCCTCGGCTTGGAAATGGAAAAAGAGCACCTCCCCATGGCCAGAGTTGAGCACCACCTACAGATGCCGGAGATGTTCTGTGTATTTGTGTGTCATTATTATTTCACTATACTAAAGGCATTAAATATTTGCCTGTCTGTGTATGTTGTAATCCGCTCTGAGTCCCCTCAGGGAGATAAAGCGGAATATAAATAAAGTGTATTATTATTATTATCTAAAATTACAACAGCAAAACAGCAGAGAGGAAACAACCAGGCACATCTTAACACCTCTCAACAAAAGATTTTCCCAGGCTCAGGTAGGCCTTCAAATGCTAATGAAGGTGGTCAGCTGAAACATTCACACCTAGCTCTAGCAGAGAAGAGCTCTTTGCCCCACCCCAGCCATTCCACAGATATATAAACCCATTGTCCTATTTCCAACAGACCTCACTATCTCTGAGGATGCTTGCCATAGATGCAGGCGAAACGTCAGGAGAAATGCCTCTAGAACATGGCCCTATAGCCCGAAAAAACCCCACAAGAACCTTGTATTATTATTGTTCCTCTTTATTTTTTACTTTAGAAATGTATCAAACACCATATTTCTTCACATTCAGCATAGAATTTTTTTAAAATGTATGAGAAACTGATTCTTTCAGATGTATCCAGGCCCACAACACTGAGTGCTTCATTATTAAATTCTGGATTTTAATCCTTGTGTATTCATCCATATTAATGCTCAATTAAGGTTTGCCACCTTAATGGCAAGCATGTGTAACACAGTTTTCTCTCAATCCTGGGAATAGCTGTGTCTAATGAATTTGATCAATGCAAATAGGGAGAAACTAATTAATTTTTTTGAAGATTGTACTGAAGCTCACATTTTTTCACGTTTGGTACAAAAGAAACATGAGAGTTTAAATAAACTGACTGCAGAAGAAAGTGAAACAAAGAGCTTTCACCTTAACCAGGAAAAATGGCCATCCTAAAAGAAAGAACCACAGACTTGAGGTTCCATCACATTAGACAATTATAGAGTTATGATTCCAAGTTAACTGCCATGGCAGCAATCTATGAAATCCTTCTACCTACAATTTAGGGAAGGTAGAGACCAGAATCATGTTGGGCAGTTGTGAATGCACATCCTGAGCTACATGGTTATGACTGTTTCATATTCATGATGTCTACATAGACAAACGGCGCTCCATTCAGGCATGCTGGCCACATGACCTTGGAGGTGTCTACGGACAACACCAGCTCTTCGGCTTATAAATGGAGATGAGCACCACACCCCAGAGTCAGACATGACTGGACTCAATGTCAGGGGAAAACCTTTACCTTTATTTACATAGACAAAAATTTAAGTTTTAGCGACATTAACTCTTTATCTCAATCTGCACATCCCAGGAAGCAGTCTCTGCAAATGACAGGACTCTGTTCTCATGTAAAATGGGAAGCAGCTGGCTGACGGTCCCCTCTTGCATGAGCAATTTCCAGCATGAGTGTTGCATCGCAGTTCAAGAAACGAGACCATAAGATTAAATCCACCACACTGGACTGTAGGAAAAGCAGTCCTTGTTTACTGATGAAAGATTGGTTACAAAAGAAAGGTAAATGCAAAGTCAAAAAGCCACAGAAAAACACAGCAGTCAGTAGAATCTCTGAACTTGAGCAAAATTTCAAAAGCCACAGTACAAGAACCAGGAATCTGTTAGCCTTTTACTAATCATGAACTTGATAACTAAGCCTCTGGGATTACCGGCCATGAAACACAGGAATTCTGCACAGCCACAGTCCCAAACATTGCTTGATCTAAAGAGGCACCCTGCAGGAGGCCTCTTAAACCAAAGAACGCCCCTTGACTTTGACGTCTGGGCCTGTCTCTCCTGTAAACGATGTGACCTTCGTAGAAACTGGGAAACATTTCTGTCTCTAACTATCTGTTCTCTTCGGTCCTCATTAAAAACCCCAGGTGGAGAGATATCACGGCTAGTGATATCACGGCTAACTTCCAAAACATTTTTCTCCAGCTGCTGAGTTTCATTTTCATCCCCGCAGACCTCTGTATCAACAACAGATCCCACACTGTCAGGGTCAGGGAGAGCTTGCTCAGTTGGAAAAACTATCAGAGAATCCGGTTCACACAGATCAGGATCAGGCTGAACCCCAACAATGAGAGAGACTTGTAATAGGGTGCTGCATTGAAGGTAGCTCAAGGGAGAAGGTGGGACTGCTAGCTAGCTGCATCCTGAGTGATGGGGAACAAACCCTCCACCAACTGTAGCAGCTGTTGCTTCGTAAATGGGAACTGCATCTATAGCACAGTCCCTACATCAACCCTTAAACTGCCAACTGCAAAGATCTTGTTGACTGAAAGGTTGTCAGTTCAAGCTGCAGGCAGGGTGAGCTCCCGCTGTCAGCCTAGCTTCTGCCTACCCTAGCAGTTTAAACACAGCTGTGAGTAGATAAATAGGTACCGCTTTAGCAGGGAGGTAAAAGGCGCCCCTGAAAACATGCTGGTGGTTCAGTTGACAGGCTCCTCGACATGAAATGAAATGGAACAACAGCAACTCCCCATGGCTGAGTCAAGCATAGCCCGCAGATGCTGGAAATGAAAGAGGGAAGCCTTCCTCTGTAATGTTTTATCTGCCTCTGTCAATTGCATAAAGGCATTGAATGTTTGCCATATATATGTACCTATACTCTGCTCTGAGTCTCCTCGGGAAGATAGAGTGGAATATAAATAAAGTATAATAAAGTATAAAGTATAATAGTTATGGGATTCACTGCATATTATTATTATTATTATTATTTTACTGACACAAAAATACAGTATGTCACAGCAAATGAGATCTATATGCTGGATTTCGTATCACATATCACAAGTCGAACACTTCCTAAGTGCCTAGGACTGTGTGATGTATTTTCGAATGATGCGTGCAGATCCAAGTAAGGTGGCCTTTTGCAATTGACAGATCGTGATTTTGTCGATGTTTATTGTTTCCAAATACCAGCTGAGATCTTTTGGCACGGCACTCAGTGCGCCAATGACCACTGGGACCACCTGTACTGGTTTATGCCAGAGCCTTTGCAGTTCGATTTTGAGGTCTTGATAACGGTTGAGTTTTTCCTGTTGTTTTTCCTCAATGCGACTGTCACCCAGTATGGCCTTTTGTCAATGTTTATTGTTTCCAAATGCGGCCTGAGATCTTTTGGCACGGCACCCCCCGATGGGTGCCACCTTGTCATGGTGGGGGCTTAACTGCTCCAAGGATGCTGAAAGCTGTGCTGGCGGTAGTGTAACTACCAGCAGGTCCAACCAAGCCAGAGAGGTCTCAGCTGAGGAGTACCTAACCCATTAGCACTATGGAGAAGCAAACCAAAACACGGTCTATACTGGCTCAGTCGACGCCCAGGATAAAGAGGAATGCTGGTGATTCTGGACATCCATTGACAAGTGGGCTACAGAATCAAAATACAAATGAACAATCACAGAAGCGGCAGAAATATACAATGCCAGAAAATTGCACTATTATTATTATTATTATTAACAAAGTAGCTAACAATGAAAGCATTATAGTACAATTTAAATATACAAATATTAAAACAGTATTAAATATTATTAGTATTAAAAACAATTCAGATTAAATTCATAAAAACATATAAAACCACAGCATATCCCCCTAACCATGATGTTACATACGGAAATCCCCAAAAGGATTCCAGCCATAATTCTCAACCAGAGAGGTCTACTGCCATAACAAACCCCAGGATTGTATAGAGTATTACTATGGCAGTTAATTGGAATTGTCATATTATAAATCTGTAATGTGAAAGGACTCCTGATCCATAGCTTCTCTGTTATGATTTCTCAGATTCCTCAACAGCCTGAGGTGACAATTCTCCAGCAAATGCCCTGGATACCACCGGCTTTTCCTCCATCTAACAGAAAGGACCAAATCAGAGAAGGTAGGAATCCAACATTTTTATTTATTTCTATTTCTATGTCTTCATTAAGACACGATATGCCTTCCTATATCTAAAATTCAACTGAACCAATTTAAGAGATTGAAAATAATGAACTAAATTCAACCATCTAATAAGATAAAGCAAGACAGTTTAAAATCAGTTAAACATAATGGAAATCATGCCTACCCATTTGCTAGAGTGTTTTAACATCTACATTAAACGTTCAAATTGAAGCATGAGGAATTGTTTTATAGAGCAAAATATCTTGCATTCTAAATCAAGCGTCTGGCAGACAAAAATAAATACAGCACTCTTCAAACAATTCATTTATAATGTGCAATTCATACACTGAATGAAATTGTGTGGTGTGCATAAGGATCTTCTTGGTATATTATGAACACTAAGTACACATACTTGAATAATCAAAAGTCTATTTGCAAAACGATTCCATCTATTCCAGACTCTTCAGAAGATAACAATCGACAAGTGGATTCTCTCCTAATCTTACTTGATCTGCTCTGGGTGTCAAATATGCTGGGTGTTCCCTGGGCATTTCCCCATTCCAGAAATCTGTCAGGGCTTCAACAGCACTAACTGCTGGAAAATCTCCAAGAACCATCAGAAAACCATCCAGCTCCAAGAGATTCTGTAACAGACCACTGTAACTAGTTCTTCACCCCAAAAGAGCTCAGATAGTCTAAACTAGAGTTTCTCAAACTGTGTTTCTTCAGATGTTTTGGACTTCGGTTCCCGCAATTTCTAACAGCTGGTAAACTGGCAGGGATTTCGGGGAGCTGTAGGAGCACAGTTTGAGAAACATTACTCTAAACCAGTGATTCTCAACCTGGGGTCCCCAGATGTTTTGGCCTACAACTCTCAGAAATCCTAACAGCTGGTAAACTAGCTGGGATTTCTGGGAGTTGTAGGCCAAAAACATCTGGGGACCCCAGGTTGAGAACCACTGCTCTAAACCTTGCCACGATCTGTCCATGATAACAGAATGCATCTCAGAAACATGAGTGGGGTCAGATGAAATTTGGAACCCACCTGTGGTCACAAACCACTCCCAACAGAACATCTTCAGCATTGATGTTGACATCTCCCAGCACCACGAATGAAGGAGACTCAACACTAGGTCCAAAACCAAACCAGTTAACTCAGAAAGGAAGACTATTGAGTGGTGGTGTGAGTATTTCATCAACTGATTCCTATTCTATTTCACCAACCAACCTTCAAGTAGAAAACCTCATACCCTGGTCAGGGAAACAGAATCCTGATAAATCATTGCAACTCTGCCTCCCAGCTGCGCAGAATACCCAGTAGCTAGAGACTAACTAATACACACAACCCAACTTGTTTTTTGTGATACAGGCCAGGTTGGCATGCTCATCCAAGAGCTTTAAATCCTGAATGGCAGCTGTTTTAACATTCACAGACCTATCCTTGAGAATACCCAGGGAGACTATCACCATGGTTATTCTGGTTATTTGAATTGGGTTACATATTAGAGGCAGCATTTTGTGATCACTTATCCCAAGAGAACAAAATCAAGACAAACTTAATGATTTTCCCGCTTCCCTAGAACAAATCTTGCAAATTCAATTAAGCTAGCAATTCTCAGTGGTCCTCTACTGCATGGGTGGGAATCATTGTTGTTGATGAACTACAACTCCATTGTGTAGGGCTGCCCAATAACATGAGTACCAACACATGATTCCTACCCATGCTCTACTGTATCTTTGGCCTCTGCAAGAACAGTCCTGCAGACCTACACCACATGCACAGCCTATAACTCCCATCAGTTCTAGCCATCTGAGTCAATGGTGAGGAGTTTTGGGAGCTGAGGGCCGAAGAACATCTTGAGAACCATACATGTCCACTTTATATATATATTTCAGATTTCAGTATTAATGTCAAAAATTTGTAGTAGGATTTGTGCTACATTAGAACAGTCTGGTTATTCCATGGATGCAATTCTATATAGATCTGTGTAGCATAGTATGTCCATGTGTGGGACTCGACCCACTGAACGTTTCACTACAATTACTTAACAGGCCCTGAAGCCATATCACATGGCTATTCCACACCTTGTGAAAAGTAGGCAAGATCAGATGAATGCCTGGCATTGTCTCCATAACAATAAGTTAAATGATTACAGCTCCTCTGAAACTTGCATAGGTCTCTGCCATCATTAGTATCTAGCTACAGGGAGACACTTCTGCAAGCTCTCTGCTCCCCATGAAGCAGGAGATCTTGCCGGCTCCCCAAAAAGCTGTACAGGGATCTTCAGAGGTTGTTTGGTAAGGGAGAGAGGTCTTTGAGAGCTGGGGAGGAAGAGAGGGAATGCCAATCCCTGTAACACCCCGAAAAGAATATGTGTCGGAGAAATGTATATACACATATGTTCCGATCCTGATGCCATCTTGAAGACCTGGTGGTTTCAACAAGCCTTTGAGAATGACCAGTTTTAGCCCATCCCCAAACATTGTGGAATATGGCCTTATTTGCTAGGCCTCCTATTATCCCAGTCATCCCTCTAATAGGCCCTGGAAATGAGCAACCACAGACCCGTACCTGTTATTGCGGTTGGCATGTGATAGCACTGTACTTAATTCCCGGTCTCCTCAAATTTTGAGTTTGCACTAGCCTTGGCTGGCCCTTTAATTGCTCTGAACAAGCAGGATTATTTTTAATATATATGTGTGTTATTGTGATAATTTTATGCTTATGTTGTTTTGTTAATTTTATGTTATGCTGTTTACTCTGTATGCCTTAGTCACCTCTAGATTGGACTATTGTAATGCGCTCTACGTGGGGCTGCCCTTGAAAACGGCCCGGAAATTCCAACTGGTTCAGCGGTCGGCGGCCAGGTTGTTAACTGGTGCTCCTTACAGAGAGAGGCCAACCCTCCTGTTTAAGGAGCTCCRTTGGCTGCTGTTTATCTTCCAGTCCCAATTCAARGTGCAGGTGCTCACCTACAAAGCCCTAAACAGTTTGGGACCCACCTACCTGCGTGACTGCATCTCCATATATGAACCCATACRTTCCCTTCGATCATCTGGAGARGCCCTGTTCACGATCCCACCTGCGTCACAGGCGCGTTTGGTGGGGACAAGGGACAGGGCCTTCTCTGTGGTGGCCCCCCRACTCTGGAACTCTCTCCCCAAGGACATCAGACAAGCCCCAATATTGGCAATCTTTAGAGCCTGAAGACCTGGCTATTCCAGTGTGCCTTTCCAGAATAGGAAACTCCTGGAATCATGTCCCAAATGCACATTGTTAGTTTTAGGATTGTCTGCACATTGCACCTACCTCCAAAAAACTTTGACACATCACCTGTCAAGTCCAGCACTTTTTAAATTTGTCCATTACATTTGCCCAGCCTTTATGTTTTAAATGCGTCATGGTGTCATTGTTTTTAGTGTTTTATTGTTGCTTGATGTTTTATTATTTGCTTATGAGTTTTATTGTTGCATTTGTATGCTGTTGGAAACCGCCTGAGTCCTCCTCGGGGAGATAGAGCGGTATATAAATAAAGTTTTCTTATTATTATTATCTTTGACCCAGTTTGGAGACAGATCCTAAAATGGGAGCATTGTAGGGGCCTTGGGGTTGCCCAGTTACAGTTAATACCTAGCTAGCAGCTGCAGAATAATATTTCTGCAGGTAATGATTGGACATTAACTGTAACTGAGCAACCAAATTGCGCCTTTATCTCATCATTGTCTTCGTATATTCACTGATTTTAATGGAAGCATCAGACATCAATCTCTGCTCATGAGCACCCCATTTTTCGATCACTACCTCATTTTTTTTTCCTTGCTGCAGAATGCAATATCTAAAGGAGATTGGCAAAAAAGTAAAAAGGAAAATTACAGTGCCTTCTAATTGGTAGTGTGTGAGAAACCCTTCATCAGAGAATGCCCTAACCAACCACATAGGTCAATCCGTAGCAGCCTTTCCCGTTATGCAGATATTTCTATTTAAATTGCAATCATTATATTTAAATGTGCAAATAGATGTATAAATTAGTGTACAGAAATTAGATCCCTTTTATCTCTTCTTCTTGGGGCGAGATTTCTCTTTTTTATATAATCAGTGACCCTGGTGAATGGGGTTTCTTTTGTGTGTGTGTGTGCTAAAATGAGATGTTGTGTTGGCACCTTGTGTCAGGAAATATAGGGAAGCAAAATGAGCAGAGCTTTTGTAATTATTTTTTAAAAATATAAGCTGAGATCCTGCATTATGGAACATCTCCATAGATGTAGGGGAATCATTTCTGAATGTAAGATGGAAACCTGAAACCGTGGATGATAGAAAACCCTATTGAAATGAACAACTTTTGCAAGAAATTACCATAGAATCACCCTGGGAGGCCTAGCAAATTCCTAAACAGGTGCTCTCTAGGTCTTCCCAGTAACTTCCAGTAGAAACATACAAGAGAATTACTTGGTGGCCTAGAAAATTCCCAGAGAGGATATATTTTATCAGAAATATAGGTGTGAGACCCCTTCGGGGTTGAGAAGGGTGGTATACAAATAGTGCAAATAAATACATAAATAAATATAAGTGTGGATGAAACTGTGGATATTGGTTCTGGGAGTACTGGGATCATACTAGGTAGTGTAAAAGTGCTGCAGTGGCACTATGCAATATCTTGTTTCCTCTCTCTAGAAACTCACCTTTTTCACACTTTCTGTCCGCAACATGATTATCTAGTGACTGGTGAAGAGTGGGAGATCTCTGAACAGTGTCTGGCTATGTCCCTATATCCATATCCATAACAATGAAGGCATCTTCTGGGTTCCCCCAGTGATCATTGAGGGTGTCCTCAGAGGTGGCCCTAGGTAATTTTCAACAGTAAGCAAACAGTATTCCAACCAATCACGGATATATATTTTCTGTTCGACATGGGAGTTCTGTGTGCCATATTTGGTTCAATTCCATCATTGGTGGAGTTCAGAATGCTCTTTGATTTTAGGTGAACTATACATCCCAGTAACTACAACTCGCATATGTCAAGGTCTATTTTCCCCCTGGGCAAAATCAACTATACTGCAAATGCTTACTTTGCGTAATGGGTTGAGCCGCCCCTGGTGTCCTCACCATGTGTCTGGTTGCAGATGGGATCATGGTCATTGCATGAGAGATAATGCAATTCCATCCACTGAGAAAACACAATAAATTGAGTTACACAGAAGTGGGATTTCAGTGTACACAGCTCACTAATAGGATGCTAGTCATAAGTAAAGGTTTCACCATTATTTATCCATAGACAACCACTTTGGTTCTTCATGGTGGATGTCTGGATTATTTAGGTTGCTATAGTCCTCTTCTTGAGTTCTTTTGTATAGAGGAGGGATGGAATTTGTATGTTCCTCTCCCATTGTATTGGATTGCAATTCCCTGTGTTTCTTATCACTGGCTATGCCGGGTAGGCCTGTTGGAAATTCCTAACTATACTTGGAGGTTCACAACATTTGATCTTCTGGTTTAACGTAAATATGCAAGAAAGCAAGAGCACAAGAGACACAATTTCCTCTGCCACTATGTAACTTGTTTAAAATGTCCACTTTTCAAAACCAGAAGTAAATGACTGAGTAGTTTGTTTATTTCCATTTAAACATTTTGTGCCTCCCAAAGATGTCCCAGGGCAGAACATTGGTTTTCAAAGCTGTCAATTCCTGACACAACCCTTGTGCTGGCAGGACTGAAGACTAACAGGTCGCAGGATCGAATCCAAGGAGAGTGCGGATGATCTCCCTCTGTCAGCTCCAGCTCCCCATATGGGAACATGAGAGAAGCCTCCCACATCAAAAACATCCAGGCGTCCCCTGGGCAACATCCAATTTTCTCACACCAGAAGTGACTTGCAATTTTGCAAGTCAATCTTGACACAATAAATAAATACATACATACATACATACATACATACATACATACATATATACTTCCTCTCTGGGAGGCATACAATGGCTATGTAGAGAGGTGGCTGTTTTAAAGGATGTAGAGGAAGTCCTCCCTGTTTAGTGATGTAGATTAATATGATTATTACATTATTTCTTTTTGGCAGACTTGATGGAGCTGATGATGATACAAAATGCCCAAATGTACCAGGTGATAATGAATAACATTGCCATCTCAGCAGTGGGACATTTTGGACACAACCCAGTACAGGTAGGTAACCGGTAATGTAATGTTATATATACATTCCTCAAAATATTCTGTTGAAACTGACTTTCATAAATTAACAAAAGCCCCAATGTGCAAGATAAAAATCACAGCCCCACTTTAAATGAATTTACAAATGATTTAATATCATAATTCAACCAAATATAATGATATGTTTGGATTTCTTCTAATTAAATCAGTGTCCTTAAAAATATTTACCACCAACTGCACCATGACATTTTTAAAGAAATGTATCTATCAAAGCCAAAGTTGAAGAGTAAAAAATTGAAACTATAGTATCCCCCGGTGGCACAGTACATTAAAGCGCTGAGCTGCTGAGATTGTTGACCGAAAGTTCACAGGTTCAAATCCGGGGAGTGACGTGAGCTTCCGCTGTCAGCCCCAGCTTCTGCCAACCTAGCAGTTCCAAAACATGGAAATGTGAGTAGATCAATAGATACCGCCCCGGCGGGAAGGTAACGGCACTCCATGCAGTCATGCTGGCCACATGACCTTGGAGGTGTCTATGGACAACGCTGGCTCTTCAGCTTAGAAATGGAGATGAGCACCACACCCCAGAGTCGGACACGACTGGACTTCATGTTAGGGGGAAAACCTTTACCTTTACCTTAGTATCCCTCTGTACGAGCAGGGGGGTTTCAACCACCTGCACCTGACCCCTCTAGGCATTTCCTAGGTTATCTAGGAAATTCTATGGAACACTTATATCAGAAGTTACCATGAAGTTGCCCTGGAGGACATCAAAAATTCCTCGATAGGGTATCTCTCTATTTATTTATTAGGAGCATTTCTATCCCGTCCTTCTCACCTGTGAAGAGGGACTCAGGATGGCTACCAACAGGCACCATTCGGTGCTGAACAATAAAAACAATGTATAATATACATTTAGCATACATTAAAACAATTATAAATACATTAAACAGTTCACCGTTTCATGTCGTCTTCCAAATCAATCCAACTCTAGGAATTTTCTAGGCTCTTTAGGGTATTTCTGTGGGTGCTTCTAATAGAAATCATTCGTTTCCATAGGGTTTACTATTCTACAGTAAGGGCTCTATCCCCTATGGAAATATGTGTCGTATTGTACAACACAATCCAGAGTTGGACTTAGAAATAAACTGCATCTGATAGGCCAGTGTTTCTCAACCTGGGGGTCAGGACCCCTGTGGGGGTCACGAGGGGGTGTCAGAGGGGTCACCAAAGACCATCAGAAAACTTTTTCTGTATTTTCTGTTGGTCATGGGGGTTCTGTGTGGGAAGTTTGGCCTCATTCTATCATTGGTAGGGTTCAGAATGCTATTTCATTGTGGGTGAACTATAAATCCCAACAACTACAACTCCCAAATGTCAAGGTCTATTTCCCGCAAACTCCACCAGTGTTCACATTTGGGCATATTGAATATTTGTGCCAAGTTTAATCCAGATCCACCACTGTTGGAGTCCACAGTGCTCTCTGGATGTAGGTGAACTACAACTCCAAAAACTCAAGGTCAATTTCCACCAGACCCTCCCAGTATTTTCTCTTGGCCATGGGAATTCTGTGTGCCAAGTTTGATTCAATTCCATCATTGGCGGAGTTCAGAAGGCTCTTTGATTTTAGGTGAACTATAAATCTCAGCAACTCTAACATTCCCAAATGGCAAAATCAATCACCCCCAACCCCACCAGTATTCAAGTTTGGGCATATCGGGTATTTGGGATTTGAAAATACATCCTGCATATCAGATATTTACATTACAAATCATAACAGTACCAAAATTATGAAGTAGCAACAAAAATAGTTATGGTTGGGGGTCACCACAACATGAGGAACTCTATTAAGGGGTCACAGCATTAGGAAGGTAGAGAAACACTGTGATAGGCAACATATGTTTCTATTTTCCCGTTTATAATTTTATCCCTAAATAGTCAGAAAAGACTGAAATTTGCAACAAGACAAGAAAAGGTTTTCCTGATCAACAAGTTAGGCTTTAGACCAGGTATGGTCAAACTTTGGCCCTCCAGATGTTTTGGACAGCCGGTAGGCTGTTAGGAATTGTGGGAGCTGAAGTCCAAAACACCCGGAGAGCCAGAGTTTGTCCTTGCCTGCTTTAGACTCTGGACTTCATAGTTATATAGAGGTGCTTTCTTTAGGCACTTGACTAACCCCAGAATCTAACAAGCTATCCCTGTTGATGATGGTTTCCAGCTTATTGTGGTACAGTAGTATCCAGCCATGACAGTACAACTGTGCTCAGACTCCACCACCAACTACTTCTCTACAAGAGAAGAAAAGATACAGATTCCCCACGGAACAAGTGCAAAAGACAATGACTGAGTCAGCATTTATCAAGTTTTCATCCTGTTTCTTTTAGGCATCCAAATTCCTTTGGCAAATAGAAGATGATGAAGAGAGTGACCCTGCACCTCGTGTATTTCACCATCATTACACCCCTTATCCAGGCACCCTTCCATTCATGGCATGGCCAACCACATTTCAGCCATCAGCTTGGCAACGGCAACAACCAACCATTCGCCACGTGGGTCCAGAACTCCAGGCACTTAGGAGACAAGATGGGTGAGTATAGCTTAGGGCAAGAAGAGGGAGGGAGGGAAAGTCAAGGATGTTGTTATTGGGAAAGGGACAAAATGAGAGCATTTCTACCCAAATAAGAATTTTTCTCTCAAATGTAAATTTCCTCCACTCCCCAGGCATGACAGTTGAACATTTAGAAATACAACTTATGCATACAAAGAATCATAGAATCATAGAGTTGGGAGAGACCTCATGGGCCATCCAGTCCAACCTCCTGTCAAGAAGCAGGAAAAGCACCCCCCACAGATGGCCATCCAGCCTCTGTTTAAAAGCTTCCAAAGAAGGAGCTTCCACCACACTCCCAAGCAGAGAGTTCCACTGCTGAACAGCTCTCACAGTCAGGAAGTTCTTCCTAATGTTCAGATGAAATCTCCTTTCTTGTAGTTTGAAGCCATCGTTCCTCATCCTAGTCTCCAGGGCAGCAGAAAACAAGCTTGCCCCCTCCTCCCTATGACTTCCTCTCACATATTTATACATGGCTATCATGTCCCCTCTCAGCCTTCTCTTCTTCAGGCTAAACATGCCCAGCTCTTTAAGCCGCTCCACATATTGTGTCCAATTCTGGGCATCACAATTGAAGGGAGATATTGACAAGCTGGAAGGTGTCCAGAGAAGGGCGACTAGAATGATCAGGAGTCTAGAGAATAAGTCTCATGAGGAGCGGCTTAAAGAGCTGCGCATGTTTAGCCTGCAGAAGAGAAGGCTGAGAGGAGACATGATAGCCATGTATAATTATGTAAGGAGAAGTCATAGGGAGGGGAGAGTAGGCTTGTTTTCTGCTGCCTTGGAGACTAGGATGAGGAACAATGGCTTCAAACTACAGGGAAGGTGATTCCACCTGAACATTAGGAAGATCTTCCTAACTGTAAGGCGAGCTGTTCAGTAGTGGAACTCTCTGCCCCAGAGGGAATGTGGTGGAGGCCCCTTCCCTGGAGGTTTTTAAACAGAGGCTGGATGGCCATCTGTCGGGGGTGCTTTGAATGTGATTTTTCTGCTTCTTGGCTGGATGGCCTACAAGGTCTCTTCTAACTCTATTATTCTATTTTTGTAGCTTGTTTCTGCAGCTGTAATTTAACTTTGGTTACATTTTCTGGCTGGGAATTCATGTTTTTAATTATTATTATTTTTTAAAAACCCACTCATAATCATGAAAGCAGGTATTAAGGGCAATAGGGGGTTCTATGTTAGATAAACAAGCATATAGAGTTCACATATGGTCACATAGAGTTTTCCAATTCTCAAATTTTATTAATTCTTCCTTTTGGCTTGTGCCAATAGTCCGGTTGTTCCTCCACCTCCACCACCAAGTGCAACTGGAACTGTGTCAGCTAACATACCACCAGCTTCAGGTAAGACTGGATAATACAGATTTGAATCGTTCCTTTCCTAATCCATCTGGCATAATCGTTGCTCTCACCTACCCAAACCTTCCTTAAACAAGTTAGGACACTCTTTGCCTTTGTCCATGTTTACATTGATACAATACAGCTCTGCAATCCACCTCAATTCTCTCAATATCTCATATCCTTTTAATTCATACAGGAATGTGTTTTCCATCTGTGCTTATTTACTAAAACTGTACCATATTCATTTTCTGCATGCTGAGAAGTCACTACGGAGTTTAGAGTTCCTTTGAATAAGAAAGTGCAAGAGACATATGGTATTTTCATAATATTTTCTTAATTCAAAAATATAACCTAGAGGGAAAATGGGCCCTTCAACAGCACGCAACAACAAACTCACTTTCATCCAGTTAATTCATGGTTGCATTAGCATGACATCTACTTCAAAAAGAAAACACCATTCAACCGAGCAGATTGTTCCTGTTATCATCTGAGGCAGTTATATCCCAAGCGTTGCATCCAGGTTTGAGTGTGTGCCGCCATCCAAGTTTCATCCCAGGCATGGTAAACCCTGCAGCCCCAGAAAATGCTACACAGAAGGCTCAGACATCAATGAATGGGTGAAGCTGTGAAATAATAATAATAAGACACAGGCAGAACTGGACAATTTGGACAGAAAAACTAGAAAACTCATGACCATTCATAATTCATTACATCCTCGCAGTGATGTTGACTAGCTCTATCTGCCTAGAAAGTCTGGTGAGAGAACTTTTACAAGTAAAGCAAGCAGTCGAAGAAGAAAAACACGCCCTGGCAGAATATGTAAAGGAAAGCCAAGAAACTGCTTTAATTGAAGCCAATAATCGGAAACTTCTCAAAGCACAGAAGACAAAAAACCAGTACAAGAAAACTGCACTCCAAACCAGAGCTGAGAGCTGGCACAACAAAGCATTTCATGGCAGTTCCTTGAGAAGATTGAAGGAAAAGTTGACAAGGAGAAGACCTTGTCACGAATGGAACACTGAAGAAGGAGACAGAAGGCCTGATTCTTGCAGCCCAGGAACAAGCCATCAGAACCAATGCAATTAAAGCCAGGATTGAAAAATCAATGGATGACCCAAAATGCAGACTGTGCAAGGAAGGTGATGAAACCATGGACCATCTCCTCAGCTGTTGCAAGAAAATATAACAGACGGACTACAAACAAAGACACAACTCTGTGGTTCAGATTATTCTTATGTCACAAGTACCATCTGCCAACAGTAAAGAATTGGTGGATCATAAACCTGCAAAGGTCATGGAAAATGAACACGAAAAAATACTGTGGGACTTTCGAATCCAGACTGACAAAGTTTTGGAACACAATACACCAGACATCATGATTGTGGAAAAGAAAAAAGTCTGGATTATTGATGTCGCCATACCGGGTGACACTCGCATTGAGGAAAAACAACAGGAAAAACTCAGCCGCTATCAAGACCTTAAAATCGAACTGCAAAGGCTCTGGCATAAACCAGTACAGGTGGTCCCAGTGGTCATTGGTGCACTGGGTGCCGTGCCAAAAGATCTCAGCCGGTATTTGGAAACAATAAACATTGACAAAATCACAATCTGTCAATTGCAAAAGGCCACCTCTCTTGGATCTGCGCGCATCATTCGAAAATACATCACACAATCCTAGGGACTTGGGAAGTGTTCGACTTGTGATTTTGTGATACGAAATCCAGCATATAGATCTCGTTTGCTGTGACATACTGTGCTTTTGTGTCAGTAAAATAATAATAATGATAATGATAATAATGATAATAATCTTTATTTATACCCCGCCACCATCTCCCCAATGGGGACTCGGGGCGGCTAACATGAGGTCAAACCCAAAAATACAATACAACACAATAAAATACAGAATACAAAAAAAAAACCCCAAAAGTTACAGCAGAAAATAACCACAATATAAAAATAAAATAATAAAGCCAATTCACACAAAATAAAATCAAACAGGATGGGCAGGCTAAATGGACAGGATAAAAAGATAAAATAATAAAACCCTGGGTGAGGTAGGAATAAAAATATGTAGGTGAGGGGAGCCCAAGCATGATATGCAGGCAAAGATGATCCACAAAAAAAAATAAAAATAAAATAAAATAAATAAATAAATAAATAAATAGACTGAAGGATCTCTTATGAAAAGAATCCTTCCACTAGTGGGAGCCAGAGCACCATTTAACCCCAGTTCTCTACAAAGATTCCCAGCAACCAAAAGGCTACTATTGGTCATTTATTTTTAAAGCTTTTTTGGTTTAGATCTCTTCCCACTTATCCAGTTATTCAGATTGTAGAAAAATTAATTTTGCAAAACTACAACTCCCAGAGTCCCCCAAATAACTCTTAAGCTGTATTGTCGAAGGCTTTCATGGCCGGAATCACAGGGTTGTTGTAGGTTTTTTCAGGCTATATGGCCATGTTCTTGAGGCATTCTCTCCTGGCGTTTTGCCTGCATCTATGGCAAGCATCCTCACTACCTCTGAGAATGCTTGCTATAGATGCAGGCGAAACGTCAGGAGAGAATGCCTCTAGAACATGGCCATATAGCCCGAGAAAACCTACAACAACCCAACTCTTAAGCTCTCATATCTTGATATCCTGATAACACTAATATAAGCAATTTCTCTTTCCAGAATACTATGACTTCAGTGAGGGACAAAGGTGAGAATGAGAATTTCCCCTGTTGTCCTTACCTTGACACAACATGGTATAGTTCCCATAACTTCACCTAGCCCTCAGGAATGTCTTCAGCACCAGAGGTTGACCATGTGGACTTGAAGCACGGCATTGATAATTTGGTGATGTACTGCTTCCAGATGTGAATCAAGCACTTCAGCAGCAAGCAGTTTCTGTGCACATTCATATTATGAAAATTAACAATGTATAGTACTTTAATCATATGTTTTTAATGGTTTTATATGGTTTTTATAATATTAGGTTGAATGTTTTTAACTGTATTTTTATGAATGTATTGCATCAAATTCTGCCAATTCTGTAAGCCATCTTGAGTCGTCATAAGGCTGAGAAAGGAGGGCTACAAATACCGTAAATAATAAATAAATAAATACAGCTAATTGTCTGCAAATTGTTCCCTGTACCCACCAGATAGCTCTGTTTCTAAATGACTGAATGGTATATAGTTACCGGTTGGTTTTGATTTCTGTTGCTGATAATTGCAGGAACCATAACAACGACAACAAAGTGCAGCCCAAATTCGCCGTCTGTTTATTCTATGTTATGAATCACATTGGCCACATTCACATATAATAGTATGTGGTTGTGGTTTGTTGAAATCTGGTTATTTATTGGTGTCCAAACCTGCCCACAAATCAACTATGGTTTGTTTGTTTTTTAAGTCGACTACAATTAGAAACCACATTTTGTTGTTGGCCTGTGATCTCCAGTGAGTTTAAACTATGCCTTATCATTATGTCTGAAATCAGAACTATGACTTTTCCCTAGCTTGTTCCTACAGATAGCCACCCCAAAAACTGTGGTAGAAAAGAAAAATGTGGAAACTGCAGTTTGGTTGGATGTCTCTGTCAGTGTTTCTCTCTGATGTGGGGGGCTGGTATTATTTCTCCAGTGTACACCAGTATATTTGTCTCCATTGTGTACAGTTGTTTCTTTCTTACAGATAAAACAGATAAAAGCAAAACCAATAGCAAGTCAGGTAAATAAAATAAGTATTTTGCCTTGCGCCTTAATGAAAGCACCAGGCAGGTCTCTTTGGGAAGGGCATTCCAAAGAGAGCATCACAACCAAAGAAGCTCTCTCCTATTGTCATCTACTACTTGTATGAGCAAGGGATGAAAGAAAAAAGCCTCCATTAATATTCTTGAAAATGTGGGGGCACACCAGCTCATAAAAGAGAAATCTTACAGCAGATTTCATGATCTCAACTTTTGTAACTCCTGCTAACGTCAGGATTTGAGTGGGAGAAAATTTGAAAAATTATTCAGTGGTTTAAGTGTAGTTGACCTTCCGTAGTTTTAGACAAGATGGCGAAGGACATTTTTCCTATAACACACCTGTCCCCTGCCTCATTTGGGAAGAAAAACAGAATATAAATCAGTCATGGGCAAGCTTCACCCCTGCGGTCGGCTGTTAGGAATTGTGTGACTTGAACTCCAAGACACCTGGAGGGCCAGAGTTTGCCCATGCCTGATATAAACCCTGCAGTTAAATAGTAATCTTAAGGCACTGTCAGCATTCTATTCAAACTGCATATTCAAAATGCTGGACCAAACTGCCTGAGAACACCATCATACACATTTGTTTGTTTGTTTGTTTGTTTGTTTGTTTGTCTGTTTGTTTACGGAGACCCCGCAGGGGACTCAGGACAGATTATAATATACATATACACGGCAAACATTCAATGTCATAGACACACAACAAATATAGATAGACACATAGAGGCTATTTAACTTTCCAGCTTTCATGAGGGTATTCTGGCCACCAGGGGAGCTGTCGCTTCACCGTCCATTTGTGACACTGTTGGATTACTTCCTCATTCTTTTTTACTTGTTTGCTGGAGATTTTATGGAGTCGTAAATTAGTTAAATTAGCCTCCCCGCATAAGCAGTATCTAAATTTCCTACTTGACAGATTCAACTGTCTTTCAGGCTGCAAAGGCCGACAGTAAGCTACACAAAGGTCGGAAGCTCACTCCAACCCAGACTGGCTTTGAATTCATGACCTTGTAAAAAATCCTTGGCCATCTTGTTTAAACAAATCAATCCAAACTCATATCTCAATTTTGATGAAAGGCGCCTAAAAGTATGCATAGGGAGAAATTTCACGTAATCTTTATTAGAGCTCCACCCTCCCCTGGAACACCCCTCCAAGATCATTGGGAGCCTTGGGAATCCCTGGCTGCATCACTGGCACTTCCAACTAATTGGAGGAGAAGCCAGCTTGGTCCCACCTCCCAGCCAATCAGAGACCGGGGGGGGGGGGCAACCAGCTTGTTGGAGCTGGCCAATCAGGGAAGAGAAAGGGAAATTTTGAAACTGGACCATAGTAGTGAATGGAAAATGTCTGTACAAGTATGCTATACATTTTGTGCTTTGGAGCATCTGTGCTTGTTGTTGTTCATTCGTTCAGTCGTCTCCGACTCTTCATGACCTCATGGACCAGCCCACGCCAGAGCTCCCTGTCAGCCGTCACCACCCCCAGCTCCTTCAAGGTCAGTCCAGTCACTTCAAGGATGCCATCCATCCATCTTGCCCTTGGTCGGCCCCTCTTCCTTTTACCTTCCACTTTCCCCAGCATAATTGTCTTCTCTAGGCTTTGCTGTCTCCTCATGATGTGGCCAAAGTACTTCAACTTTGTCTCTAGTATCCTTCCCTCCAATGAGCAATATCTGTGCTGTACAAGTGTCATTTTTGTGCAAATTGAATAAAGCCTCTGTCGTTTCCCTTCATCCTGGTGAGTCTCTCTTTTCCTGATTCGCTCTCATCCCCGGTTAGTGAAACTTGCCAAGTAGCCCTCACTTTCCACAAGACATATAAATCCTCTAAATTTCAACATCACTGTGATATTGAATTACAAATAATTCAGGCTAGTGTGACATTGTCACAATGACATGGGTGAGATTTTTTAGATGTTGTTTTTGATAGCAACAACAGCAGTACATGTGCTTCCGCAGTCTCCCAAATGTGGAGATTTGTGGGAAAGGATTATTAGCTAATAAACAGAGGAAGTGTTCATCGGTGGCCACAGGAAGCCATCTCATCCCATCCCTGTCCTAGAATCATATCCCAGATTCCAGAAATGTCTGAGGCTGCTGAGATACAAAACCTGCAAATTGAGTCATGGATGTGTTTACTATCCACCCAAAGGGAAGTCTGCAGAGGGCATGACTTAGCCCTATTCTCTGACTCAGGTGCGAGACTCAGAGGAAGTTGGCTCCCGGCCTGCTATGTAAAGGAGTTAGTGTCTGGAATGAAGAAGTGAAATGGTGTGCCTTGATAATCTAATTAGTTCATAGAAAAATGTTGCAACACGTTAAATCTTTGGAGGCATTACAATAGATTTGTCTCTCAGCCAAGCTCTGTGCCAGGTTCTCCGAGGTAAACAAAAAATGATTATGTGTGTGGCTTGATGCAGTTAAGTGTTTATCTCATTATGTATCCCATTGCTTTTTCTGACAGACTGCATATTGTTTTGAGATGGGATGTATACTGACCCCACCACACCCCAATAAACTCAAATACTATGATTGTTACCTTCAGAAAATACTCTGCTTTGACTCATCACACCACGGAAGGCTGGCTCCTCCCAATCCACAATGTGCAGTGACGTAGCCACGTAGTCTCATACTACCGCTCTCACAAGATTTGAAAACCTCGCGTTTGCACAGTAAATGTGTTTACCTGATCACTACCTTTGGGTGCAAAATAAGGAATTCTGAGGCATCTAAATTTGTCAGATTTCTAAATGATAGATTATAGATTAATTAGATATAGTTCCTTTGCTACATCTACTGATGCTGCTGCTGCTGCGGTTACTAATTCCGATAAAGTGGCTATTCCCAGTTTTCTTAATCCTGCAGACCTTTCTTCTTCAATGTCCCAAACAGAAATGGTGGCTGGATTGTTGTAAGTTTTTCAGGCTAAATGCCCATGTTCTAAAAGCTGTCTATTTTGTCCTAGTCCTGGAAATTCATCTTCTGGCTGATGTTGATATGGAGGTGCAACAGATCCTTGTCTGTGTTTGCGAGTTCTTTGTGGATGGTGTGGGTCCATATTTGACCCAACATTTCCACTTGGGTCCATATTTGACCCAATACATTTTTAGGCACCCAAGTTCTAAACCAAGGCTTCTTAAACCTTTTCCACTCATGACCCCTTTCCACCTGAGAAATTTTTACATGACTACAGGTATATAGGTATACAAAATCGGTGTAAAAATCAAACATTTGTGAAATCAGCAATTGCAAGGCTTGCTGAACATTCTGATTTTCCTTTTTGTGGAGTACAGCTGGAGCATTTTCTTCAGAGTCCACTGTAAACACTGCTTAGGCGATCCTTTGTGGCCAAGTATAATTACCTTAAGGGCAGAATCTTGTTGGAGCATGCAAGGAATCAGTGAGTGTGTGTGTGTATCAACTGTAAAATAAGATGCATGAAGCTGATTGGTTAGGCAATACCTGAGGGATAGGCTGAGCCTGGGACTTTTGGATACTCTTATATTTTTGTTCAGGCTTGAGCTATGCAAGTGCAGAGAGAAGAAGAAAGAAGCAGAAAGACAGACTGATTTGCTTCTTGGCTGCTGAAATAAGGTCGCTAATATGGACAAAGAAATACCATTTTAAATCTCTCTAAAAGGACATGATGTGAGTTGATGCAACTGATCACACTGTACCTATGTTGTTCTGAACTAAGCAGAGTAAACTACTTGTTTTTTACTGTTCTCATGCATGGCATGTTTTCTTTCTCTGGCAAAGCAATGTGTGGACTGATCTAATGTGAACTACACATGGTTTATTTTACATTCTGCCACAAATCTTGGTGAGTGTAGAGAACTATTCTCAATCAGAATGGTCTTTCACAATGAGGACATAATTTCCAGATGCAAGGCAGTCTTGACAAGGGTTTGCTTGACGTGCCTTTCCCTTGACACATTTCTCCCTTTCATCCTCCATTTGTACCTCTTCAAAAT